CGTCATGACCTTTCAAAATGGTGGACGAATATAACGTGGCCACCGATCACGTGGTTTGCCATGTTCTGGAAAATTCTAAGCCCGTCAATATTGTCTCATGATGTAAAGTAATATTCCTTGATTTTAAATTATTTACCGAATGAATAGTTGCCAGTAACTAAAAAAATCGATACGTATCGGACGCGTCCTTCACAAAGCTGCAAAGCACGCATGCGTACTACAGGTGGCCTTTTAAGGCTGTTGACCACGTAGCAATTACTTGTAAAGCTCAGTTTTCCGGGAGTGCTTCTAGGAATTATAAATCGTTTGTTACCGTGAATTATTGAAAATGACGGAAACTTTGAATAGGAAAAGGAGATCCTATATTGTCAATACAATGGCCACGTGGCGTAACGGTTTATATTTTTAGAAAAATCAATACCCTTCCTTGGGTAAGGTGATCCTGTGGCCTTTTAACAAAGTCATCTACGATAGCCTTCATTTCAGGACTGTAATGTTTTTAGTCGCGCTGTGATAAGCAAAGAAGTTATTCTTACTACTGATGTTTATTTTCCAATTCAAATAATGCTTTTTCCTGCGTTACGTAATTAGAAGTTTAAAATGAACTAAAGTTAAGATATTACGTGGCGTAACCGTTTTTAGCCTAAATCGATACACATCCGTGACGTTCTTTACAAAGCTGCATAACACGCATGCGCGCAGGTGAGCTGCCGACAGTGTCGACCTCTAAGTAACCTCTTGTAATGCTCAGTATCCCGGGAGCTTGTGCGGTTACAAGTCGTGATAGTTTGCGAAAAGTCTATCTTGGAAGATCTTGCCCGGTGTAACATCTTTTAGGTTTTTACACTTTGCGCGGAATATTCTTATCATGTCAGAGCCGAGCCCGCATTTTACGAGGACGTGCGGTTGGCCTCTCTTGTCTTAAAATTTTCCACGTCATTGTGTTAATCAGTTAACCGTAGGACAGAAAATAATTAAAATCGAAGTAGCTACGTGGCAGTCGGTCCTTCTTGCCGTTTGAAAGCTGTGATGTACGCGTGTACGGATTGCAGATTTTCCGGGTGTGCCGAAAATTTCCCAAAGTAGTTGAAACGACCCCGTGGCGTCGTCCGCCATTTTATAAAAAAAAATCTAGTGATCGCTCAGCCCTACGCATGCGCGCGATACGCAGGTTAGGCGTCGCCCTTCGGCCATTTTGAAAAGCGTCGTTCGGCTCATTACCGTGCGAGCGCTCAAGTAAGCGAGTCGTGTGAACTGTGTCACCGAGTGTTACCAATACGGGGCGTCCAACATTTGCAGTTTTGGCTGAGACTTCAATAGGTACTAACATTCAATTGCTGTAATTGTGGGTATTATTTGTATGCAGTTTGACCATATGCTTAGTTTATCAGAATCAGGCTCCCTGTTTGTGTGGCTCACCTTTCTAAAATGTTGGCTAACCAGTATGTCTGTCCGTACCATCCCGCTGCTTATCCTGGTGTGGGGTTATCCTGGGCAACTTGGTCTATCATTTCTCCTTCTTATTTATAGCTGCTCTATTCCTGTCTTATATGTATGTGTGTCTATGTATATGTATCTGATATTCTTATATTATACAAAAATATATTATGTGCCTCGTAACAAACAAGACATTGAAGGTATAAAATTGTAATGTGTATTTTTAATCATTTCAAAATAATGTAATGTTATGTTATATCTATCGTGATTGTGAAATTATAACACGAAACAATAAAATATTGTAAACTTTATGTCCACTACGCAAATCTGCTCAAAATAATAATTATTGTCTTCATGACTTGGCAGCCCTCTACAATATCTATGTGCTTAAACTATATATGTATGTATGTCTGTGGCACAATGGGTAATATTGCCTAAGCAAGTTCTATTTTATATTGCTTTACTCCAAAAGGAAATTATATCTTCTGGCTATGAGAAGCAAACTACATCCTTTATTTCAGCTCTTGCTTACCGAATGTTACTTATAGTGCCTATTTCTATCTGTGTCGATGTATGTAGATTTGGTGTCTAAATTGTTAGTTTTATTTAGTTCTGTGTTTGTCTTAGTATTAAGTAATTAGAATTTGGAAATGTAGTCAATGTACTGTAGACTATGTTCTTCTATGTAGAAATTGTGAACTTGCATGATGTATCTTTGTTTAGCGAATAAATTGTCGTAAAGTATCTACTCTGCTTTTTTATTTGTACCTGTACTTTCATATATTTTTAAATTGGTTTGGTTCCTTCTGTAGGCTATTGGCTCTCTAATAGGACATATCTATCTGCTGGATCCTTTTATCTACCTTCAAACTCTTGTCCCATTACTGTTTAAATGTAATTTTCGTAATTAAATTTCTGAAATCGTTTTTGTGCCCCTCAAACAATATATTTCAGATCTATTTCGTGGCTAGTAAGCTCTTTAAACATGTACTTAGTCCTTGGAATTACATCGTTAACGTAAGGATTTTCCATGAAAATCTATTAATAGTGCAACAAAGCGGGGTTGGCACCACCGCGGGACGCATGCGCGAGTTCCCGCTGCACCCCGACCGCGCCCCTCAGGTGTAAAGGGTCACTCGATCGATTGCGTTTCTGCACATGCGTCCCGCGGTCGAAAAATCGGTGCCACAGCGCCGGGGCCCCGCCCGTGTCGAGCCTCGCGCTTGCGTCCCGCGAACCTCATTAAATGTGCCACATTACTACTTGCATCTACAACTACTTAGTTTTCTATAGAGTTAGCTATTGAGATTAGACAACTTCATAAAGTTTTCAGGTATTGAAATCTTTCTAAACTTGCTTTTCGTATTCTTCCTCCACACGACGTAAGACTAACTTGTTTAATTCGGTATGAAGTTTGAAAATAACGGCTGCTGAAAGATACTTGATGCTTGACGAGTCCATAAAAAACAAACACCAGGAAATCGTCGGGTTTTCTCGAATGATGAAACAGTTTATTGGGGCATTTTCACTTTTCGTCACTCAGTTATGTTATTAGTCCTGAGTTAAGATGGAGCCTGTAGTTGTTTGTCAGACACGAACGATGTCTCTTGGACTATTGACCAATATAGGTACTAAGAATTTCATCTATCGACATTCCCAACAACGCTTAGCTTATTTCATAGACTGAAAAAGCGCGATACCCTTTTTAACTATTTAATTATCTGTCAATACCGCCTTCTAATTATATGAGAAGGTAGGTATCTCTAGGAGATACCTACCTTCTCTAGTATCTCTAGGTAATTATATGAGAAGGTAGCCCATGGCTCTATTCATACAGTAACTTAGCAACTGCCCTCTTATAATGATCAAATAATTTTATTATTTTGGGAACGTAATTGATAGGTCTTGTGTAGGAGGTAACAAGACGCGTGGGTGAAACACGTGTAAGTACATAGAGACGCGTCGCGACGAAACAAGATGGCGTCCACAGTACAAAGGCAGGGGACGTCGCTCGCGGGGACGCGATCGTGAAGCCCGATTCTTTTTGAAATACAAAATTACTTCCATTAAATTAAACTTCAAAGATCAAAAAGACTTTCTTTTCATGGAATAAAAAACCAATCTTATGAAACCTTGTCGTTACCTCAGATCAACTAAAACTTTATGAATAAAGAGGGTGACTTAACAGTCGCCAAATTAATACGCAGAATAGGGCCGTACGTTCTCAATAGCCAAGGACAAGTCCATGAACTTTCGTTCTTTTGACATTGCTTATATTATTACCTCTTATAATTCTTAATTGCGTCTCACAAATACGAAACGTTATTATCGTCTACTTAAAACTATCATTTTGAAGACTTTTACGAACAATCCGTAGTTGTTTTATAACAGCTACAGATTGTTGTTATTTCTTTAAATGAGGGTATACGTTCAATTCGTAGGATGCATTGTTACATAATGGACACGGTGAGGCGACGGTCGCAACAAAGGCGAGCTCAGTCGCTTACCGAGAGTCGCAGAGAGTGCGCGCTAGTCTCGAGTGCATGTTGTATTTTACATGTTAGTGTCCTGTGCGTTATAAATTGAACCGTAATCAGTTGTAATTAGTATAATATTAGTTTCGAAGGGGCTCGGGACTTTTGGACGATTCGTAATTGTGCGTAGAAATATTAGTTTTCCGCTCAGCGCTATAAAGAAATTATTGAGGCCGTAAGTAAGTTCACATGCATTTCTAAATATATGTAGATATTATTAACTGATCTTGATTTGTCTGCGGCTGTGTATCGCACTTGTTATCATTCATATTTGTTTTAATGTGGAACCCGTTGCAATTGGAATGGAATCTGAAACAATTATTTTGTTTTGATTGGCGTAACTTGCGAGAGAAATAAAGACGAAAGTAAAGTTTTCAATATAAGTACACTCAACTGTTTAATTTCAATAGATACGACGTGCTGGCTACTTTAATTTCAAAACCACTTATATTACAGTGCAGGACGCAGACATGTAATCGAAATACATAAAGGGTTGTCGGACGACCTTTATTAAAAACTTCCTTTGAATCTAGTTATATACTCAGCCCTTTTTAAGGGGAATCTAAAAATCAAAATCTGCCCTTATGTATATATATGCTAATTTAATGCAGTGGACTAAAAATTAATCCGATGGACAAAGGGTCCTTTGACCATTGCAGTTGTCAGTTAAATATAGCGAGGGGTGTTTAATAAAAGCCTTTTAAATTAAACCCCCTAGGGCTTGATTGAAACCAGAACTCAGCATTCAGTAAGCTGATTGATTAAAATGATGAAACTATGAAAGTGCATTGCGAATGTGAAGAGAGCCTAGGGTACTTAGCGATTACATTTTTGCGAAGGGGTGCCATTATGATTAGCTGTGTAATCAACTTACTCATCAGTTGTATTTTTAACGATAGAACATTTAAACAGTAATGGAAGATGAAAACTTCTAAAAGAATTTCCCTTTTACTCACTTGAATTTCTTCATTAGGTAGTAGTCATTGTTTGCATCTTGGGGATTACTCTACAGCTCGTTGTGGTGTACAGTTACAGCAAAAATCCGCAGCCTGTACGACGCCCAGCTGCGGCTGCAACACAACATACAGCCGTTGCCCCTCGGCACTGACATCGCCAATACCGTCAAGTACTTCTCGCAGACATTACTCAGTAAGTATCCACTTCAAATTACAACTTCTTGTACAAGTTTCACAAATTGAAAGTTAATCCAGTCTAGCATTAAAGTCCCTCGTTGTAATGTACTGGTTCGAGCCCAATTTTATCAGTCTTCACAAGAGACTTCACAGTCTTCACAGCACAAGAGACGTCGAGTACATAATGTAAAGTGGTGTCATATTTTTACTGGGGTCATGAAAATTAAAACTAAATAGTTTTCATTCGGAATTCCTTGTGGTTTTTCCTTCTTATAATAAAAACCAGCATCTATTGTACTAGGTAATTGACATTCCAGAATTTTTGGACATTTTGTTTGGATTTTTGAGAAATCACCAGTTTTCTTCTGTAGGCGTCCTCAAAGATGTACCCCGCTCTCCATTGGAGATGCTGCGAGATGCGGACAATGACGGTGAGAGGATGGGCCTGTATCCCAACCTGGACTACAAGAGCCTGTTCAACGCCCTCTCGGGGCTCGTCGATTCGACGCCACATCTGCAGTATGGGACGCTGCGTTAGTATCACCACTGGTCTTTAGTTCTCGAATTTATTGTGACTTAAACTGACTGCGTATAAAACAATGGCTGCTATATAAGAGATCGATTCTCTGATAAAGTAACAAACTATTTGTCTAATCCATACTGTGTGTTTGCTGCCAGGGTACGAAATCTATCCAAGTATGGAACATTCTTTTTTAAATTAATAATGATTCATACAAATTATAATACGGGGGTTGCGAAACGCTTGTCTTTTGTTTTTCAATACTTTCTATCAATATTTACGAGTATTTAAGTTTATCTTTCAATACCATATGTTTTTCATTCCTAGCATTCGGGCAAGCCATCCTACAATGTCTGGGTTGCTTGCTGCCCTTCTTGGAGTACGACATGATAGACAACCTTCCATTCCTGGTGGCCTATTGTGTCGCCATGTTCCCCGTGGCCCTGCATCAGGAGATTTTGCATCTGCTGTCTTATTACATCCTGCCGTTTACTATCAGTAAGTATTGTATATATGTATTTTTATGATGTTGAGGTGAATTTCTTCCAATTAGTGAAATGGACTTCTTTTGAGATTCGAGACCTCAGTGCAAAAACTGTAAGGTTTCTGAACTTGTAATAACTTTTTTATGGAGGACCCAATTCTCTAAACAACTAGTATAAGAAACTAACGCGAATTTATACATCGTAGACAAAAGCTTGACCAAAGTTATTGTTTACTCCAGCTCGCAAGTATGCGGGAATGGAGGAAGAGAGTCAGGCGTCTCAATCTGTGGCTGCCATTATCATGATGGTGTTCCAGCACTCCAATAATCCAGGTCAGTAGCTATTGCATTGTATGTTCCCGTGAGTACGGTACGTCGCGTTTCGCGCGCGCCTCAAAGAGTCTAAAAAAGGAAAGTCTGTGTAAAAAGATAAAAAACCAATGATGTTAAAAAGATATTTTTATGTTTTTTAGAGATAAAAGCAACGTTATCTTATTATTAAATATTCATGAAATATCAAAATGAGTAAAAGTCCTTCACATGAGAATTAACCGTGTTACCATGCCACAACCAGAAAAACAAAATGGCGGCACAGACGCGTTCAAATATGGAACAAAAACACAAGAGGTCGCTACTTACAAGTGGACGACGCTTAAAACAGTTTGACAGGTCGCGGTAACGATCAGAGATGGCGCCACTAGTGGTACACTGCCGCACTGCGGCAGTTGCTCGCTTGTGGCGACATCTAGCGGTGACAGACGCGATTCGAAAAATGATTTATGAGTTCGTTCACCCCGCCAGGACTTAAATGGTTTATTGCATTGTAGTTCCAGTATACTGATGTCGCGAGTGTCTAGTTTATTTTTATTAGTTTCAAATCCTGTCTGACCTACTATACTGTAATACTTTTGAATATTTTATTGGTGGTAGTAGGAATGTGTTTCGGAAATGATTGATAGGTTTTTGTGGTGCTAAGAATGTTTGATGTTTACGTAACTTTGTTTTTTATTTTTACTTCAACTTTTATTTAGTTGAATTTTCTGTTTATTTATTTTTTGTTTTAGGTAAGTAATTTGTATTTTAATTTTTTAATTAATTATAATTGTTGGTTTTATTGCGAATTACTTTTTGTATTGTTTTTATTTTCTTTTATCTTTATTTATTTTGTATATTTTGCGTTGTTCTTGTTTTGTTGATTCCTGATGGGCTCGAGGTCATCATCAATCTTGTCACAAGCACTTTATGGATGACATATGACAATCGCTTACAATACAATGAAATGCAACCAAGTCTTGGTTAGCTTGAGTTCATATATTGTGAAGGGGTTTCAGAAGAATTCAGAAGAATAGTTTTCTCCTTATTTTTTTTAGTATACCTCACCAAAACTGTAACCTATAACAATGAAGTATTGAGAAGTAAGTGACACATCACTAAATAGGGTACTTGTTGTGACTGTAAACTTCTCGTGACGTTTTCCACCACCTTAACCTCATTGCATCTATATGAGACAATAGAAAAAACATTTTCTTGCTTAGATTTGTAGAAATATCTACATAGAAGACGTTTGTAGAAGATCAAGAAATGAAGAGTATTTGTGAATACATTCCAGCGCATCACTGCCAGCTCCTAGAATGCCTGATGTCGATGAAGCAGTGGGTGGTGAAGGACATCCTGTGCGTGATCGCGTACGGCACGTGGGGCGCGCGACTGTCCGCTGCCAAGCTGTTGTTCTACTACTGGCCGCCATTCGACGCCAAGCTGTTCGATCGGAAGGGGCTGCTCTGCAAGTTTTCCAGTTAATATCATCTTACTTCTATAATTTACATTGTTTCTATTTCTAACGGATGACATGGGTAAAAAGATAATATATACATATTGGAACATAAAAACAGCTATTTTTCGCCAATTTTGTTATGGGTCTCGTGTAATAGGGGGTGAACCTATGCTTATGGCAAAGATACAGGTGATCCAATTAGGGATGTCAACAAATATCCTCACATCTTATCTCCTATTAGGATGCGAAGAGACAATATAACGCCAACTGATATGAGTTTGGCATCCCTCATTTGTTTCCATTCATCGTTTACATTCATCAGTGCCCAACTCGGGTATCGAACAGAATTGAGTAATGAGTGTCAACCCCCGGCCCAGACGACCTGGTCCCGTTCCTGTGCCAGCGCGACATGTGTCCCAACGCGGGCAGTGCGGAGGCCGCCAAGGTCTGCTACGACCACTGCATCAGTGTCACCTTCGCGTCCGACAGTCCGCCGCCACTGTATCTTTGCATCGAGTGCGCTAATGAGATACATCGGTATGTAATTATGTAGTATGTTCATCATCTTCATTATAGCCATCCCTATCATCATTACAGGTTATTTAAGGGCTACATCGGCCATCCAGCAGACTGATTACGTGATTTTATCAATTGGGGCTACTCATGGACCTCCACAATACCAGAAGAATTAAAAGTTTATTGTTGGTTTTTCATCAACAATCCGGGACAGTCCAATATCTGTATTCACCAAACTTCTTTATTAAGATATTTTTTGAGGTGTAACTTACCCGACTACATTTTAACCGAGTTAACTTCTATTAACTAAAAAACGCGGGTTACTCACGTGAAAATACTGAGACAAGCTCTACTAGTTTCGAGCTACACAGGGGCTCTTCCTCAAGTGCAGCGTGCGCGGTCGCGGCGATGTCGCGCAGCCCATTCATCTGTCGATATCTCACATGTCTCACGATAGTTATAAGATTTAACTTCTCATCTGATTTCAGGGAACATCCCAACCAGCGCTTCTTCGACATCCTACACCCTCAACAACAAGTGTCAATGGTCTGTGAGAACAAGGTAACTAATATTATTTTCTATGATCTTTCAAAAATCGAATTCATTAAAATCTAGTTTGACCATCATTTCATGAATTTTGTGTTATGATTTCAGAACTGCCGGTCGACCGACAAGGCGGCGTATTCTATCTGTTTCTCCAACGAGTGCGCCAGTTACAACGGGAACCATCCCATCAGGTAAGAGTTGCAGCGATACATTCTTACTATTTCTGTGGGTGCCATAAAGTGTATGAAAGTGTGTGAAAGATCGCATTATAGAAGGTGTAAACAAAACGCTCTCGAAAAACGTACAAGTAACGGTAAAAACAAGATATATTTTCATAAAGCTAATGAATTAAATGTTTCTTTTGTGTAACAATAGTTGTAAGCAACTGATCAGGCTGATGTTGCATGAATAACACGAAAACAAAACCGATTGAAATTAGTAAAAACTATTTCTTTTTGTCAATGTTTCGAGTCTTCGAGAGCGTTCCTCTAGAGACTAGAGACTATTACGAACTTTTGAACTCGATCTCGATGATAGTAATTTCTTTGATAAGGTCTTAGATTGTTCAATATTTAGATCAGTTATTAGTTTGATCAGAAGAACAGAGTCAACCGGGTGATATCGTAACATCCTGGCGCAGGTACTGCCAGCAGTGCCACGGCAACCGTCACAACAGCCGGCGCGGCGGGGACCACGTCGTCCACACGCGCCTGCCGCCCGCCTGGCAGATGGACAGCGACATGCAGACCAACCTCGTCGAGGCCATCATCAGGTCGGTACTGCGCCACTTGACAGGGACCACGTCGTCCACACGCGCCTGCCGCCCGCCTGGCAGATGGACAGCGACATGCAGACCAACCTCGTCGAGGCCATCATCAGGTCGGTACTGCGCCACTTGACAGGGACCACGTCGTCCACACGCGCCTGCCGCCCGCCTGGCAGATGGACAGCGACATGCAGACCAACCTCGTCGAGGCCATCATCAGGTCGGTACTGCGCCACTTGACAGGGACCACGTCGTCCACACGCGCCTGCCGCCCGCCTGGCAGATGGACAGCGACATGCAGACCAACCTCGTCGAGGCCATCATCAGGTCGGTACTGCGCCACTTGACAGGGACCACGTCGTCCACACGCGCCTGCCGCCCGCCTGGCAGATGGACAGCGACATGCAGACCAACCTCGTCGAGGCCATCATCAGGTCGGTACTGCGCCACTTGACAGGGACCACGTCGTCCACACGCGCCTGCCGCCCGCCTGGCAGATGGACAGCGACATGCAGACCAACCTCGTCGAGGCCATCATCAGGTCGGTACTGCGCCACTTGACAGGGACCACGTCGTCCACACGCGCCTGCCGCCCGCCTGGCAGATGGACAGCGACATGCAGACCAACCTCGTCGAGGCCATCATCAGGTCGGTACTGCGCCACTTGACAGGGACCACGTCGTCCACACGCGCCTGCCGCCCGCCTGGCAGATGGACAGCGACATGCAGACCAACCTCGTCGAGGCCATCATCAGGTCGGTACTGCGCCACTTGACAGGGACCACGTCGTCCACACGCGCCTGCCGCCCGCCTGGCAGATGGACAGCGACATGCAGACCAACCTCGTCGAGGCCATCATCAGGTCGGTACTGCGCCACTTGACAGGGACCACGTCGTCCACACGCGCCTGCCGCCCGCCTGGCAGATGGACAGCGACATGCAGACCAACCTCGTCGAGGCCATCATCAGGTCGGTACTGCGCCACTTGACACCACAACAATATTTGTTACAAACTCCTTGATCCTGACTCAACTTGTAATGTAGTCTAATGTTATATTTGACCTTGAGAACAATTTCCTAGGTCTAGACGTGTCCAATTTCCAGTAGGTAATATATGTTTCTGGTGACAACAAACTGACTGGACTACAAACCTATTTGACAGTTTTGACATTTCTCTAATTTAAGCTACACAAATTACTTAGATAAATTTAGTTTAATTAGAAAACTATATCTAGTTAAAAAAAACCTGGTGTATATTCTCAGCCTCCTGAAAGAAGCTAAGCCAATCAACATGGAAGACCCTGACAGTTCCACGGAGCAGCTGAAGCCTCCGCTCAGCGTAGACTTGCCTGATCCCATCTCTGTAGAAGATAGACAGCTGCTCGGCAGGTAAATTATTTTCCATTTATTTTTGACACACGTGATGCTGCAATCGACCGTTAAAAAGTAAAAGACCTAAAACACTCCCTTGTGGAACGCCCACATTAATCGCTGTGGGTGTCACCGATCACTGACGTTATCGAAAGATTTTCCTTCAACAGTTTTTTATTGGCAGCTTTTTTTGATGTTTCAAATTTTAATTTATTGACCTGTAGCATAGTTTTGTGCAATTTTCTCAGTCTACTATGAACTACAAAATCAAATGCTTTGCTTGAATTAAAAAAAGATTCAAATTGTTGATACGTTTGTATACTTTTGTAGATATGGAGTATGGCTGATGGTGGGTTTGTGTACTCCAAACCCTGACACTCCTGACGAGATCCTGGGACGTCTGCTGTCTGTACTGTTCCACTGGTTCCATGTTACTTCCTTTTCTTATACGGGTTAGTTTAATATTTTTAATTGAGTATGGTTTTCGGTGGAATTACTGTAAGCAGAGTCGGAACTTCGACTGCTAGCAATGTGTTTCGGGTTCAATTCCTAACTTGGTCAAAATATTATTAGGATGTTGGTTTCAAATTTTGAGTGTTGGTTTAAAATCATTATATCGCATGGCAATGGGTATTACCTATTGAGTCAATTGCATTATATTTTTTTATTTTTCTTTATTCAGGAAACAAACAGTCTCTTACAAATAAAATTATTACAATACAGTGTGATACATACAGACCTAGAGTTCCATAAAACAATACAATACGAAAAGGCAAAGTTTTTAAAGGTGTCAAATCAGTAGCATACATTAAAAAAAAGAAAAGAATTATAGAGATAAAGTTTTTAAAATGATAAATGAATTTACATACTTATAAAGTGACCGTGATATAATTCCCTTCCTAGCTCTGAGCATATTTCTGCTTAATTTTAGATTTATAAACATTGAAACTAGTATTAAATATGTCTAGTTCATTTAATTGTTCGTTATAAGTGCTAACACTGCGTTTGAAAAAGTTGTTACTTGTGTATATTGTTCTATAAGAGGGCACTGAAAATAATGTTCGCAAGCGGGAACCACGTCGGGGCACTCTTAGATATAATCTTTCTAATAGTAGGGGTGAGTCAATATAACCGTTAATTATTTTAAAAAGGAACATTTGATTAAAGTATTTTCTTCTGTCAGAGAGCAATGACAAATTGTGGTATCTTATCGAGGTCTCATAAGATACATGAGGGTGACAGCAGCGGTAATCTAAACATTTAATGAATTTCTTTTGAATATTTTCAATTCGAGTTATGTGACATGCATAATAGGGGTTCCAGATGATACATGCAAAATCTAATAGAGAACGTACAAAACTAAAGTAAAGTAACTTTAAAGTACTAGCTCGTTTAAATGGCTTTGAAATTCTTGTAATGAAACTAAGCTGCCTGTACGACTTCTTGATCACATGATCGATATGTACCTAGGTTAAATGAGAGGTGTGAGTCCATCAAGACACCTAAATCACGAACCGAGTAAACTCGACTAAGGGATTTACCGTTTACATGATAGTTATAGTTTACAGGGGTACGGTTTCGAGTGTATGTGATGATGGAGCACTTATTTAAGTTTGAGTTAAGTTGATTCATAGAGCAATAACTAAAGAGCCCGTCGAGATCGGACTGTAACTGTAAACAGCAGTTCACTCCGGAAACAATCCTAAAGAATTTGGCGTCATCTGCATATAAAACAAAATTAGATTTTTTAAGGATATCTCCGATGTCATTAATATAAGGAATAAATAACAATGGCCCCAGATGTGATCCTTGGGGAATACCAGATGGGATCTCCAGGAAACTAGAAGTGTAACCCTTGAGGAATACGGCTTGAGAGCGATTTTTTATGTATATGCTAATCCAACGAAGCAAATCACCATGTACTCCAATTCTCCAAAGCTTCTCAATAAGCATGTCGTGATTGATTTTGTCAAAAGCTTTAGAGAAGTCCGTGTAAACAACGTCCACTTGAAGTCGCTTATCCATAGCATTGACTAGGTAATCGGTAAAATCAAGCAGATTAGTTTCCACGGACCGACCTTTACAGAAGCCGTGCTGGTTTGGGGATATAAGACGCTGTAACAATCGTGAAAGCTCACTCGCTACAATTTTTTCTAACATTTTTCCAGGTAGGTTAAGTTTGCTTATCGGTCTGTATTGCGTTACATCGTCTCGTCTATCACTTTTCGGGATTGGAGTAACTAAAGCTTGTTTCCATATTGTAGGTAAAATACCATCACATAGTAATTTAGTATAGATCATAGTTAGCGGTGGGAATAACTGAGTTGCACAGTTTCGGATAAACAATGGATGAATACCGTCATGGCCAGCTCCTTTATTGGTAGGTGATTGCTTTAAGCTCTTTATAAATACGATTCTCGGTCACGGTTAATACATTAATTTGTGCTTGAGAGTTCAAAGGGGGATTATCAAAATCAAAATTTACGGGACGGGCTGGGGATTGGATATAAACTGAATAAAAATACTCATTGAAGAGCTTGCAAGTATCTTCACCAGTGCCAGAAATCGTCTGTTTATATTTTACTGTTGTAGGAATTTGACTATTTAGAGACTTAGATTTCACAAACGACCAAAAATATTTGGGTGATTTATGGATTTGATCTTCACTTAGTGTTATGAATTTGTCATAGTCAGCCCTTTGCAACTTACGCTCCCTCTTACGAAGACTGGAAAATGTTTGATAATCTAGGAGACTTCCGTAACGTTTCCATTTTGCGTGATACTTCCTTTTTTCTTTGGTTAATTTAATAAGGGGTCGGCTGTACCATGGTGGATATCGGTTTGAAATCGACACTATGCGAGTTGGTACATGTTGGTCAATTACTGCATTAACAATTCTATAAAAATTCCTAACCATAGTATCAACGCTACCAGCAGCCTGGAGCTCCGACTGCCAGTTAACCGAAGCAAGTGCTCACTGAATGGTGTTATAATTAGCTTTGTGAAACAGCCTTCTAGTGGTACTTTTCTGAGGAAGTGATACGGGTGCCATATTATGCACAGTGATAGATAGGGACCTATGATGAGCGTCTTCTGGGGATAATGGACAATGGGGAGCTTCGACAGAAGGCATTATTGCAAAAAATTAAGTCAAGAAGTCTATTATTGACATTGAACTGTGAGTTATATTGTTTTAGACCAGAGAAGCTCATAAAATTTTTATTTTATTTCTTTTTATATTAAAATCTGCAGTTAATTGTGTCAAAGCGTCATCAAACTCAGAACGAATAATCATGGAGTCAGACTCAGCGTCATAACACCATATGCATGCATGGGACACGTTGAAATCACCTGCAAGTATAAACTTGTCATTTGGATAGAGGAGTTGCTCACACTCTCCATTATAAAGCTCAACTCGGACTCATGACAGCTGCTTTGACGAACATAAGTGCAACATATGTGTAGGAATCCAGGAGCTTGATGTTTTCCTTTATCGGTGAGTGGGACACTGATCCACACTCAGACGAGACAGATGCCTCACATCCCTCACGTATGGTGGGATTTAAATCTCGGCGTACGGCAATCGCAACGCCGCGCCGCCACCTCTTTCTGCGTTTGTGACTAGAGAATCCCGATCACGGCAGAAAACAATGTATCTATCGTCGAAGTCCTCAGAACTATGAAAATTATTATTGAACCAAGTTTCGGTAATGCAATAAATGTCGTAATTATTTAATTAAATAAAATTTAAAAAATTATGAGATTTTGTTCGAAGACCCCTAACATTTTGTTAATAAATCTTAATTATTGCAGAGAATTTTAATAAAAATAAAAATGTTCAAACTACCACCACCCACGTCCATAAAGTACGAGACTAAAGAAAAGTCCTTCGAAAATGCTTGCATATAAGTTACCCCACACAAGTTGTCTATAGAACAAATTTGACAGTATAATATAATACCTAAAACATAGTTATAAAACGGTCACTTTATGTTCGAGAGATCACCATCACCAGATATACGTATGGCCTTAGAGGAGTCCGACTTCCTCATGAAAATTTTACAATCGCGAACCCATAGATGAGCAAAACCACGTTGTTGCTTCAACTCACGCGCGCGCTTCAGAAGTAACTTATTCGCTGGTATGAGATGATCGCTGAAGTATTTATTTGTAGCAGGACCGGTCAAACCCACATCAACTGTGCTGATACCACGTCGAGACCGTATAGCTGCCAACAGCTGATCTTTAGAGCATTGTCGTGCAAACTGAACAATTATAGAAGGTGGACGGTAAGGCACGTTCCTGTCCTGTTCAAAACGGCGAACACGGTGTACACGGTTAATGTCACGTAGATCCAAAGACAAGCCAACCTTGGTGTAAATATTGCCCAAAATGTACAGCAGGTTTTCACTTTTATGTGACGGTATCCCGGAAATTTCAACATTGTTTATTCTGGAATATTGCTCACGTAAGTTATTTGTACCATATGCTACATCAAGTTCCTTACGAACTGATTCCAAATTAGAAGTCACACGCTCAACGCTGCTCAATCTTCCCTCCATATTTTCCCATCCTAGAATTGATCTCTTTCCATTGGGCGGTCACTTCTTCGACAGAGGTCTTTACAATATTGACATCGGCCGTAAGGTCATCAAAGCAGCTACGGAGATTCTTCAACTCCTTTAATACATCTGATAGAGTTGGGGAGTTACTAGACATACGACAATCGATGCAACGCCAATTATCCTTCTCCTCCGATGTCATCTTACGGTACGTGGTTTCCTGGAGGCCAGAGCAGGAGTAATGTAGGTGCCTCCGACACTGACTACATACAACACCGTCGGTGACAGTATCTCTGCACTTGACACAATCCATTTGAAACAATTTTATTAATTCCAAAGTCCCCAAGTCTGGTAAATGGTAGTTAACTGGACACATTTGACATTGACGTCGCAAGTCAGGGACTTGCGACGTCAATGTCAAATGTGTCGAAATGAACTTGTCATTTGATTTTGACAGGTGACTTGATAAAGCACAAGCGGGTAGTTCTTATTTACTGGCAGTTCTGTTTACTTTATATGAGTTAGAGGGTATATAAATGTGGTACTTGCGGTTGTTTAATCTTAGGAAGTCACTATTGTTTCTTCAGGACTACAATAGATAGGGTTCCTTAGGTGTTGTTCTTTCCCTTGCGTTATAGTGCAAACCAATTTACGAGAATTACCTACTTTATAAGACAAAAAAACACAGCGTATTTATACTTGCCAGCTGTTGTTGTTATATTCCAAGGATGGGATTGTAGGAAATGAATGCATTACAATATGTTGTGGATTTACACAATGCATATAGTAAGACAAAGTAACGTGCAGGTGAGACGGCGAGTGCGGTGGAGAAGCTGAAGATAGAGCACGTGTGCGGCTGGGTGCGCGACATCGCGGAGTCGCACCGCGCCGTGCTCGTGGCGTGTCTACTGCCGCACCCGCCGCACTACACGCGCCAGGCCGGCCACTGGGACAACCTCGCCTCCAAGGCGCACCACCTCAAGGACGGACTCAACAGGTGCCGCGCTACTGCCCACACTACTCATACGCACAATCATTCATTTCACACCAGGGGATTGATCGGAATCGGATTCAAGAGTAAGCACCCAGGGAGGCACTTTTGAACGTCGAACATAAAAGTCTCTGAAGTGTCAGTCTGTTGGTCCTTTAATGAAACTATTTGCTCATTCCAAAATGTAGCTTCCTATGTAGAAGAACGTGCAAGAAACTCTATTGATTACTGGTAAAATAAGAGGCGCGAGGAAGATACTTGGTCATATCCCCATTCTTAGCAACCAGCTTCCGATAAGTGATTAATAATAACTGTCTACGTTGCGTTGTTTGACGATTGTATTCATCCTTCACAAATAATAGATGACCAATAACAAATACTTGCTTCGAAACAATGAGAACTGTTCACGAAGCCACCATGTTAAACCTGCCAATCGTTTTTGACGAATGCATGCATTCGCAATGTGGACCGGTAGACCTAGTTAAGCATAATTTTTGTTATTTTTTTCCAGACTGTACTGCCTGATCCCGTACGGTATCATCACGCAGTCCATCTGGGACTTCATCATGCCAGCATGGATGGAAGCTATCTGTACTGACGTACCAGAAAAGGTAAGACAATGTACTATTACCATTGTATTATTGTTATCATGTTGTGATATCGGTAATCGTCATTCTTCAAGACTTCAAGTTTTGTCAATTATTAGTAGTGATACATACAGTCGTGGTGGCCCGGAGGTTTAAGGCGCCCGTTACTCACGCACGAGGGCGCGGGTTCGGAACCTACCAACGGCAAGTACCGATGTGATTTGACTAACATATATTTTCTAAGATCATTTATACACCACTCACAAACGGCGAAGGAAAATATCGTAAGGAAACGTGGGCTTATAATTTCTAATTATACCTAAGTTTGAAATCGCCAAACCCGCATTGAGCAAGCGTAATGATTAATGCTCGAATCTTTCCCGTGTGAGAAGAAACCTTTGGTCAGCAGTGGCCACTTATTGGGCTCGCTGCCATTGCAGCGGTAAGTCCCCTCTTTGAGACGTGGCTTGAGAGACGCTAGGGCGTCCTCACCTATCGCCTGACGCAGGTCCTCACCGAACGTGGAAGTTTCGGGGGTACCTGTGTCTGATGGGGCGTGAGGAAACGCCCGGGTGTCATCACTGCGAGGACCGCCCTGAGGACACGGTGGAACACACAGTTGGGGAATGCCCTGCGTGGACTGAACACCGCCGTGCCCTCAGGGACGTGATCGATAGCGACCTCTCGCGTCCGGCCCTAGAACGGGTCATGATGCGGAGCGAGGGGGACTGGAATGCCGTCTCCTCCTTTTGCGAAGCACTCATGCTAGCTAAGGAGGAGGCGGGACGCGTGAGGCAGCGAAGCGCTGTCTCCTCGCAACCCAGCCATCGCGAAGGACACACCGGGCGTCGGGGATCGCGGGACGATCTCCGGCCACCGTCAGCGCGGGCCTGCGGACGGCGAGCATGGGTGGCTCCCCGTCCGACCAGAAACAGACCCGAGCGTTCCGCGCGCGCCTCAAAGACCCAGCAGACCACCACGGATCCCCCCAACAGGGCTGATGCCGATTCGGAGTCGCGGAGAACCTAATGGGTTACCAGGATTCCGGCTCGACGTGCCGGAGAAGGAACGGAGTGGTTTTAAGTCAGTAAGAGTCTAAGTCTGCCTCACCCAGGCGGGAGCAGTAATTCGATGATTTTCCCCCCTTAAAAAAAGTGCCCACCTATCGCGTTCTACGCCGTTGATGATACATAGCTAAACTTGGCCGCTATTAAATCCACAGGACTCGTGACTTATGTCCGAACGTTACTCCATTTTAAGACGCGCTTTAACTCGTCGAGTACCGGTTTTGCAGACACAATTATAGAACAATAGGTTGCGGTCACCGGTGACCGCTTGGTATTTGACAGTTTAATATAATCTGTCTACAAATTCTTTGTAAATTGATACAGATGGCACGATATTTTAATGCAACTTAAATTGAGTAGCCTTTCAATATTCGGGCGATAAATGGTAAAAAGTGAGTGCTACCTGTTACGTTGGTTGATTAATGAATTATAGTCGGATTTATTTTACTTGGACTTATTATAATAATGTGCAGAGCGCACGACGTGTACAAACAACACCGTGTGACAGATAGACAGCGGCATTATTGACAAGTGTCCTACATTATATAATACATTATAGTGAGGGGGCCACTACTTACTAAATAGTGTTGTCAATGCATACATGTAACACTACCCTCCACTTTGCTCCTAACATAATTGGACAAAGTGGGTGTTGCTTTCCATTCTACTTACTTTTTCTTATAAGATTTCAAAGAAGCTATAAATATCCTAACGCCTTTCATTAACTTAACAGGAACTAATGGAGCTGAAAGTGCCTCTCGGTAAGATCTTAGAGCCCGAAGGTGCAATGGTTGGCGTTGATGAGAAAAATCTATATAAGTTCGCAGTGCTCAAGGTCACTGATACTCCTACACCTGATACTGTCCTACCTGTGCTGGAGTGGTTCCAGGTCCGTATGATATAAAATGTATTACTGTTTACTTGAATTTAGACTGTATGTCAACGGTTAAGAGTTTAATGTTGCTTGTATTTTCCAAATTTAGGAGACTTGCGTTTACTACTAACAAGTAAGGATCAGTAGATGTGGATTAGTGTTTTGTATGGCGATGTCAATGAAATAATCAGAACAAAATCTCTCCTATGGTTCGCGCGAAACTTGTTGGCAGCGCTATTAGGTATGTGCCACAACCTAAAGCGCGGACAACTTGTTAAGCGCGCACTGTAATGACTTCTAACCGGCTGAAAATGTCTTCATCGTTTGTTTAATTTAATATTAACCTTACGTATTTTAATTAAAGTTGATTATCGTTTGTGATTATCGTTGGAACCTATATGTTTATCTTATGTTTCCCAGACTATATCGATGTTGGACGTCCGCATTCCATTGAACCAGCTGTTCGATCTGTTCAGTCACTGCGTCGTCAACCTGCCGGAGAAGATATTTAAACCACCTACTATAGGTAATGTATTTTATACAAAGATAGATCGAATAATGTGAATTATTATTCACACACACACACACACACACAATTTACTGTTAAAAGTCAAATATCATTTGATTTATAACAACATTTTTTAAAAGCGAAGCAAAAATTATTGAATTTTATCGTTCTACTCCGTACGAATCTTTGAATTGGTCTTTTACTTTTTACCGGAATTGGTTTTTTACTATTGAACAATTCTGTTATAATTGGTCAAAGTACCTGTATTAAGCCAATGTCTTAACTGTTGATTTTTTCCCAACAGATGGCTCTAAGCCTAAAGACTCTAAGGACTCCCCCAGTAACACAGACAAGGACAAGAAGGACAAGGACGATCAGATGAAGCCACAGAACCTCACCTGCTGTATACTTATGCTGGATATACTGCTCAAACAGGTTAATATTATTTTATGCTGCCACATACACAAGCACACAACTCTCACATGACTTCGACTCTGCGCTAACTACCACTTGCGCTAACTGTCATTTGCGCTAACTACCACTTGCGGTAACTATTACTTGCGCTAACTACTACTTGCGCTGACTGTCACTTGCGCTAACTACCACTTGCGCTAACTATTACTTGCGCTAACTACTACTTGCGCTGACTGTCACTTGCGCTAACTATCACTTGCGCTAACTATCACTTGCGCTAACTACCACTTGCGGTAACTATTACTTGCGCTAACTATTACTTGCGCTAACTGTCACTTGCGCTAACTGTCACTTGCGCTAACTATCATTTGCGCTAACTACTACTTGCGCTGACTATCACTTGCGCTAACTATCACTTGCGCTAACTATTACTTGCGCTATCTGTCACTTGCGCTAACTATCACTTGCGCTAACTACTACTTGCGCTGACTATCACTTGCGCTAACCATCACTTGCGCTAACTACCACTTGCGGTAACAAAAATGTTATACCTACATAATACTGATATTTTGTACAGATGGAGCTACAACAGCGTCGTATAAACAGTCAGAATGTAAGCAGTGAGGCCACCAAGCTACTGCGACTCATGCTGAAGTCCAACCAGACCAACACTATTGAGCATGGTGAGTAGAACATTAACCGTCGAACGTCAAAGTTTGGCAGGTTTAGATTTAAGACCACACCTATGTAAAATTTCACTAAATAATATAAAAAAAAACATCTGTTATTCCGAAGGTTACAAAATTTATTTCTTTATCATCATTCGTCTCTCCCAATGATTTCAAAATCAGCCAATTACAACATGCAATATAGGTATTCTTTATTTTTATGAAATCCGGATTGGTCTATTGAATTAAATTGGATGAGGTTCTGATTCAAAAGTGAGGAACCAATACGAATGGATTGAACGCACCAGAGGATTTTGTCATATGTATCATAGAAGATAAGGAACACTCTGTATCTGATTTTAAGTAAACAATGTATCTGTTCTTATGAGAAAAAAATTCTTTAAACGCAATGGAAACACGTGGCTTGAGCTGGGAGTCTTTTGGTCATGGAATTTTTATAAAAATGTGATAACGTTTTAGACTGCCGTTTTCGTTGGCCGACTGGTCGCAAGTGCGACTGTCGGGCAAAAGGTTTCTGGGTCGATTGGTCGGGCAAAATATTACTGAGTTTTAAAAAATAGTTTCAAGTGTATCATGGAGTTTGTAATTGTGCCCAGTATATTATGGCAATAGACTCACCCCCTATTACGTGGGACTCATAACATAAATATTAAAAAGTGGGTGTTACATTGTACAGTGGCATAAAGTGCCATAATGTGTACCTACCCTTTCGGGGATATAAGTCGAGATGTTATGTTAGGTTGTCTGATAAAGTTTTGTCCCTTATGAGCTAAGAATTTTATTGTATGTGTATTGATGGCTTTCAAAGTCCCTTTTGGTTCATTTTAAAGAGTGCTATAAAGAAATGCTTTGATTCCATACAGCGGTATGCCAGGCGGAGGGAGCGTGTTCGTACTGCGAGGCGGCCGCGCTGTGGCATCAACTGGCTGTACTACTCGTCAGGGCACTCGTTCCTGATAGACCCAAGCCTATGACGGAGGTAAACTCATCTTTATTTTAAATGTAATTATGTACAAGCGTCTAGCTTTGGCATTACCGTCTAACAGTTGACCTTTAAGTGATGTAGAAAGAAAAGTTTTAAAGCTTGGCGCTTATGAGTTCTAAAATCCTTTTAGTCACGAAACTATAGATGTCGAAGTGAAGTGATTCAATTCAATTTAAGTAGGTTCGAGTCAAAACAATCGAATCGAACCTACATAAATTGAATTGAATGGATTCGAATATAAAAAGATTAAGTTCCTATTAAGGTGACATTGGACGGTTCACTCGAATGAATATTCACCCCAGTGAATGTTTCTATTATCTTTTATTTGTTATAATTCTATCAAATCCGAGTGAATGTAACTTGGTGTGCAGACAGTTCATTTTTTGTTAATTTGGAGTGGAATTAGTCAGGGAGAGCCATGTTTCGGCACGAATGGGCTGGTTCCAGCGGAGTAATACCACGACCGAGCAGAAAACCGACGTGAAGCCGTTGTGTTTCGTCGCGCAAGTGAGGTTACCGGAGGGCTTATTAGATAGAATTCATGTTAAAGTAACGCAGCATCTGAGCCAGCATCAGTCTTTCAAACACTTTACTAAGTACTGGTAAAATAGAAACTGACCTATAGTTATTGGGTTCTGCGCTATCACCGGATAACAATGGAACTACTTTACTGTGTTTCATTAAATCCGGAAAAACTCCTTGATTTACACTTTTATTAAAAATGGTTGCCTGTAAAGTCGTTTTTACGGGCGAAGATTTTACGTGACAACGTCTTTTTCTCGGTAGAATATTTATTGATATGAATATAATTAAATTGCACAATAGGAACAAGGAATTGAATGAACTAGTGCTGCGCGCGCGGCAGACCGATCATAGTTGAGTGGGAGAGAGACGCAAGGCATTCGGCGGGCCTCTCTCTCGTTCGGTGACTCATCGTAACGTTATCGAGCGTTACACTTTTTCATAAGTGACTCCCAGCCGCAACCTAATTTAAGACGTTGTCACGTCAAAATGAAAGCTAAATGAGGCGTATAGTCTCTATAAAAGCTCTAAATACCCTAACCGATATTCCCTAGAGATCTTCAGTAGTCTTAACTTTGAAACCTTTAAACGCTTTAATGACTGCTTGGAGGTTTGTCCAATTCCGATCAAGATCGACCGAATTGTAACACTAGCGTCCATTATATTCGTATTGCGTGGATATTGAATGAACTAAATGGTACTGAGTTTAACTTTATATTCCGTACTGTAAATGCTATTTTAATAGGTACAATAGGGGTTGTATAGTTTTGACATTGAATACTTATTGACATTTTATTGGATTGAAATTGCATTGACATTGAAATTGGTTTCAAGAGTAAGGTCCCAGGTGATCCGTTTGATCGTTTACCGGCTAATGCCATTAAAAAAAACCTAATGATGCCGAATGCCAAAATTCAACATTGTTGGATCGGTTCACTAATGAATTCAGTTTATCACTCTTGTTTCATTCTGAGTTTAGACTTTAGAAGTATAATTCTGAGTGAGAGACGTCGAATGAAAGTTAAAAGTTAAATATTATGTTAAAGTGAGAAATAGTTAAAAATATTATTAGTTCATTATCTGTAGTACAGTATACGTTATGCCGCTCTACCACTGTTGGTTCCGCAGGCGTCCGTGGAGGACCTGTGGGCGGAGCCGTGCCACAAGAAGGCTGCGTCGGAGGAGGAGCGCAGTAAGTCTGGCGGCACGCCGGGCGCGGACGGGCTGCTGGCGCTGGCGCAGCCGCTGTCGGAGCGCGCCACGGCCGTCGGCGGCGTGCTCGTGCACATGCCGCATGTACGTACTGCACAGGGTGGCTCACTCCGCGTCGGAGCGTAGATGTGTATCGATGTTGTTCATTCGATCGATGTTGGTTCCAATCGATACGTACATTTTATTCCAAATCGATTAATTTGCTTCTCTATTATTTCATTGTTCTATCTATAAAACTTTTGCATGATGGAAAAATTTTCTAGTGATGGGTATTTATTGTGTTCGATTTTCAGTAACTATATTTTAATTAAACTTTCTATGTTTTAATTTGAACAAATTTCAACGTTAATGTTCAGTAATAAAATCGAGTATTAAAAGAACTTGAATAATTGGAGTAGCTTCATATCCTTAAATAATAGTGAAATTATCTAGTACACAATAACTTACCATCGTTTAAACTAAATAAATAACTAAAGACAATAAATTCAATGGGTTGGCTAGGACATAAATGTGTATAGTAAATATCATTGTAACGTAGTTGTATAGTTTGTTCATTTCATGCAACTCTCTCTCATAAGCGACGTGGGCTCGGATGCCACGATCACTAAATCTTCGGGCGACACACAAGTACGTCTCACTGGTTTATTTACAGGCTTTCTAACGAGATGTTTTACATATGAAATACTCTATTTTTATTATAAAGGAAAATCTTAAAAAATGATTGGAGCAATCTAATGCTAAAATCTAAATTTTCTCGGTCCCATATTTCTCTCCAATTTCACTTTGTTAACGTCTAATAATATTGATAAAAATGTATCGATTAAAATAAAACTATATCGATAGACAGATCGATTACAGAAATCAATATAAATTCCGTTTATGTTATCCAATTTTAAACTTTAACGTTAAATCTTAAAATCTAGTATTTATGTAACACATCTCGTTAGTAAAGCGTCTATCTTACCTAACTCTTGTGCTTATTCATATGTGAATGTGTTTTGTGTTATTGGTGTTTAGATGCAGGCCAATTTTGTACTTTAGCGGTCAGTTTTTAGAGTTTGAATTCCACTTTTAGAACATTTTATTTGAAACTAGTTTTCTAGTTTCTGAGAATAAAGGAATAATTTAACATGTTTCGATTTGATACAGTCGTTTTGGAGTTATGTGCATGCATATATAGCGTATGTTCAAGTTATCTCTCTTTTTTTGAGAAGTTATTTACATGGAATCATTAAATTATGATTTTTCATGTAAAAATGTCAAGTGGTGGTACAAAATTGGCCTTTTAAGACTTCACTGTGTGTACAGAATTATTAAAATAGCTGTTGTAGTGTTAGTAAATATTAACAAGCTTAGTTCCATGTATTTCACAGTGAAGTCTGTAGTTTGATGTTGTACGTAGTTCTGACCGAAATATTAATTATTCCGGTCAATGTAAATAAATAAAAAAAATATATTTTTATAAATAATCACCATGTTTATACATGATATATTAAAATTTATTTATCTGGAAGAATACGTATGCATGTACGGAATGCCATATACGTAACACAGGTAAAATATACAAAAAATATTTACAATTGGTTTTAATAGAGCTGTTAAAATATAGTTTTTAGCCACAAAATGTCTTGAAATGATCTCCATTAAAAAGAAACAATTTACAAATAGACTACACGGATATATGTACATTCCACCAATTCCAATGAAATTAGCTAAAGTATTAAACAAAAAGGCTTAAATGCTACATAATAAAGTTTACTTCTCCTAAATATAATTATTAGTCACTTAAAATTAAACGAAAATTTAGTATACGCACACTTTAGTGTTAGCAAGTTAAACTATATAGTAGGTACGAGTGCAGCCTGGCTAAGAGTGTCGCGTGCGCAGATAATGACGGCGACGGTGGAGACCATCACGGAGCAGTTGGACATGGCGGTGTCGCTGCCGCCGGCCGACGCGCCCGCCACCGCGCACGCCGTCACGCTCACCGACACCGACGTCGCCACCGCCACCGCCGACGTGAGCACGCACTCCGTACTATCGTCTTCCAGGAGATAATATATATATTGCTAGACAAAAGAGCCTCTCTTAGTCTGTCTCTTGGATCATCTATTATTTTAATGACCTATGGAATAATGACCCGATTCCCATAACATAACATCGCATCACACCTTTTCTCCCAGAAGGGGTAAGCAGAGGTGCACACAGAAATAACTCCCGCTTTTCACTATTTATGTTATGAGTCCTATGTAATTGGAGCCTATTGCCATATATCGGGCACATTTCCAGAATCCGCGCTACTACTGAGATTTTTTTAAAATCCAGTAATACTTTGCCCGACCCAGGAATCGAACCCAAGACCCTTGCCCGGCAATCATGGCATCAAAACACCAGAAAAGATATGAAATGTTTGGTGAAAGCATTATCGAAAAATTCTTATCCACCCCTTTAAACAATACTACCTTTTGTACTCGACTGTCGCATTATTATTTAACAGTCTTATGTAAACATGAAAATTTATATTATGTCCTGTAAATTACGTACTCACGAATATACTTTTATATCACTTTCTATTCAATAATAAAACAATATTTGCAAAATTGCAAACAGGTATCAACTCCAAACCTACTAGGTGACCATGAGAATATGGCAGAATCAGTTGAAGATGACATGACGAACTTCTGGCCAACATCTGCCGGCAAGTTCCACTTCTGTATTGAAGAACTGCCTCAAGAGTTGCAGTACATTCATCAGTTATTACAGGTAGGTCTTGACGTGCTACGGCTACGGTGCTACGCCGTAGTAAAGTGCTACGCCGTAGTAGATCTTGGTATTATTCATTTCGAATGAAATGCTTGTTTATTTTCAATAAGTTTGAAATTATCGTGTGACTTACAAATTTCTCATACAGAAACGCAATTTTAGCGCAATTATGGGACTTAGTGATTTCTTACCATGGACATTTTTGTTTAGATTGTGAAAATATGCCTATATAATATTTTTGTTGTTTGATACTACCTCTAAACCTTATGCCACCTATCCTAGGAGCTGAAAAGCACTTCTCGTCCGGACGTGTTGTACCATCTCCTACAATGTCTGCAAGTACTAGTACTGAGTACTGATGCTCTGGCAGACCATCGGGGCTTCCTCATTTGGTGTCAGGAGAACCTGCTTATTGACAAGTAAGTTAATATCAACTTGTGAATTCTCTAGTGTTGCGGGTGTCCACGAGTGGCGCTGACTACCTACTATCAGCCGATTCGTTAGATCGTCTGGTTCCTATTTAATTGTCAACTAACTGGATGGTCTGCGGACAGCAATAAGTCACGGATTCGTAATCATTTTGAGTGCGATATATACAATTGTTAGATCAGAGTCAAGGAGTGTGTTGATCAACAAATCCAAACACATAAAAATAATGTATTAACGCTAGTATAAATATTAAAGATGATAGTATAAAGTGCATATATATCGTCTTTAATCTTTATACTAGCGTTTAACAGTTTTCAAATTCAATTCGCATGAAAATTGACTATATCATATTGAATTAACTAAAAATCGCGGATTACTCACGAGAAAATACTGAAGCTCTACTAGTTTCGAGCCACAGAGGGGTTCTTCTTCATGAGCAGAATGCACGGTCGCGGCGATGTCGCGCAGCCTACTGAGTTTCACGTGAGTGACCCGCGATTTTTAGTTAATTTAGTATGTCAAACTATAGTTATTATTAAAATATATCAAATTGAATATCTAAATTTATTAAAATCAACCAGATCTCATTCTATAACCACATCATCTCTTGCGCAGTCTATGGAACGTATGCAACGCGTCCCACTCGCACATATGTTCGGTGGCGGTGCCAGTACTGCTGCACTGCGTCACCCTGGCGGGGGGAGCTGATGTCTTCTGTAACCTCATCCGGGACCAGTTCCATCATCACGACTACCATGTACGGTTCACGGCTGTGGAACGAGTCACTATTATTATTAGGTAAGTGGAGTCATTATTAATGTCAGTTAAAAGAAGTTTAGCTATTAAATGAAAGGCCTTATCTTAAATCAGGCAACATTTACTACAGAATAAATAAGAGTCGGCCTATTTCTCGGCCTAATTCTGTCAACTAGAAATAAATTTATTTACATTGGCCAATGGACATTTTTTAATCTACAATGGGAAATATATTGGATTTGACTGTTAGGTTTTTCTTTATATTTTATTTAATATTCAATATTTTGTAGACTCAAACTTGGTTTTTGGCTAATAGACATGTTAGAAATTGTATTATAATTATTTGTCATTTTGGAATCCCTCTTTAACATAATGAACATTATATTTTATAGCATTTAAATCCTTATTTCAGCACCCAATACCAATACATCGTTTAACTATAACCATGTTTACGGTGCAGGTTCATGGACGGCTCCCCAGTGAAGACGAGTCTCCCGCTGCAGACGGCGCTGGCGACGGCATTCTGCTACCTGATCTCCAGCATGGACGACATCAACGTGTACGTGGCCCAGCGCGCCACCCTCTACATCGGCACTGTCCACGACAACGCCATCGATGTGAGTACCTCACTGTACACACTACTACTATCTACAGTTTTGGCTCAATATTTATTTATTTATTTATTTATTTTACACTTTAATGCACACAAAATAAGGTACATAAGGCGGACTTAATGCCATATGGCATTTTCTCCCAGTCAACCTTTGGGTTAAATGTAAGCTCAGCGAAAATGGGCCTCTGTAATATCCAAAAAAAAAAAACAAAATAAATAACTAATAGTAATAATAATAATAAATACTGTATAACATACTGTATAAAAATATATAATAAACACAAAATATGTACATACATAAATAACTTCATATATATAATTATAATATAATATAAATTGACGAAGATATAAATTAAAGAAGACACGAACTCAGCGTTGTAGCGCCTTTAAATAGGCCTCACGAACACTACGTTTAAAAGCCATTTTGTTTGGAGCCATTTTTATACTATGGGGTAGTGCATTCCATAATTTAATTACACTAACTCTAAAGGAGTTAGAAACGAAGGAAGTGTGGTGAGACGGGATCTCTAGAAGCAAACTTTCAGCTGAACGGAGATTTCGGCTGTGAGAGCTGCCCAAAATCTGAAAGCCAGATTTTAGGTATTCGGGAGCACAAGGATCATTTAGAATAGAGAAGAGCATGCAGAGGGATCTAAGGGATCGCCTCTCACGGATAGGAAGCCATTTAAGCTGAGCGCGAAAGGAAGAGACATGGTCGTATTTACGTAGTCCGAAGATAAAGCGGATACAATTGTTGAGCATTCGATCCAATTTGTTAAGAAGGTCTTGGGATAGGTCAGAGTAACAAACATCAGCATAATCAATCACAGGAAGCACAAGAGACCGAACAAGCAGCGCTTTTGTATTTGGTGGAAGAAAGTTTTTAAATCTGTAGAGAGATCGCAGCGTGGTAGTGACTCTTTTACTTACCTGAGTGACATGGTGGTTCCAACTGAGCCCTCTATCCAGGTACAGTCCCAAGTCCTTTACATGAGGAGACAACGGTATGGTCACTTTATCGAATATGATTGGCTCAAGGTGAACAGTATTTAAACAACTCAGATAGTAGGAACTACCTAACACTATGGCCTGACACTTACCAACATTTACTGTGACACCATACTTTTTAGACCAATCTTCCACAATGAGTAAGTTGGCGTTGAGTTGTTGGATACAACTCCCCATATCCGCAATCCTAGCTTGAGCATATAGTTGCAAGTCATCGGCATACAGATGATAAGAGCATGTGAGAAGACTAGTAATAGAATTAATAAATAAAGAAAACAATAGAGGAGAGAGTATACCGCCCTGCGGTACACCAGCCGTCAGTCCGCCCCAGTCAGAGAGTTCCTGACCAACGCGAACAGACTGCTGGCGACCACGAAGATATGCTGAGAACCACTCCCGCGACGACGACGAGACCCCAGATTGAGTTAATATGGCCAAGAGAATATCGTGGTCAACTGCATTGAAAGCGTTGGAGAAGTCGATTAAGATTAACACAGTTAACCTCGAATCCTCCATACCACACCTCACATCCTCAGTGACTTTGAGCAAGGCAGTAGAAGTGCTATGGCCGGGTCGGAAACCAGATTGGAAGGAAGACAGTAATTTGTGTTTTAAGATATATGAGGAGATTTGTCTATGGACAACTGCTTCAAGGATCTTAGATTGATAAGGAAGGATAGAAATGGGTCTATAATCGTTGGCCCGGCAGGGATTAGGAATTTTTGGAAGCGGGATGATGTGCGCTTTTTGCCAAGTTGTGGGAAATACACCGTGAAATAACGAGAAGTTTATTATGTGGGTGAAAATAGGAAGGAAGTGCTCAAGAATTAAGGAAATCATGGTACGACCCACCCCATCACAGCCCACCGCCCTGGATTTGATCGATGCGAAAATTCGCTGGATCTCGTTTTCAGTCACTGGACTAAAGGTGAAAGTGTCGGGGAGTGATATAGGCTTGGAAGTAATGTCGGCGATAGTGCTGACTTTAATGGCATCCGCCAAACCAGAAGATGAAGCAAAATGCAGGTTAAGAGTATTTAGAGAAATATTTGTGGGTAAAACACTGGATGAAGTACCACAGACACCCAGCGTTTTTAGGAACTTCCATACATCAGCCTGAGAAGAGTTTTGAACGTTATCGAAAATGTATCGGCGTTTAGCAGCTCTCACCATCTGGTTACACCGATTTCTCGCCAACCTATACAGTCCCCAGTTCTCATCGCTACGATCCCTCTTATATCTACAGAACGCCCTATTGCGACGTCTCATAGCCATTTTGATTCCCGGAGTGATCCAGGGAGCCGGTGGACGCCTAACACGGACTGCCTTTAGAGGCGCGTGCGCGTCCAAAAGCTTAAGGACAGACTCGTTTAGGTAATTGACCTTCTCGTCAATAGAAGTCGATTGATATACATTGGTCCAGTCAATGGATTGTGCTTCGCTGTTTAGTTTGATTTTATCCATCCTCGCAAAGTTTCGAAGGTATACAAGTGCAGGACGTCGCCTAGGTGGCCTAATTTTGTATGATAAATAAATTAAGTCATGTCTTGACAACCCCGGAGCCGCAACCTGACCATGATTGACCACAAGTTCCAAGGAGGATACGAGCATGAGGTCGAGCCAAGAATCATCAGATCCAACATTACAATGGGTCGGATTTAGTGGGAGAAGAGAAAGATTCGAAGACTCAAGGATCGACCTCAGCCCACGAGACCTAAGAGACGACTTAATGAGATCAGTATTAAAGTCTCCCATGATAATGTGGTGTTTGTACTCTGTGGAAAAGGTTTCGAAGAGAATCTCTAAATGAGAAAAATAGTTGATTGCTGGTGGGCAGTAAACAACTCCAAGAATAGCCTTGACTCCTCTGACGTCCACTTCCAGCATAAGACCCTCTAGAGATCCGCTATAAAAAGATGGAGAAGAATATAGAATTTTAAAGGGGATGTCACTACGAAGATAGATAGCAACCCCCCCAGCTCTCCTCCCCGTGCGGTCATTTCGAATTAAAATAAAACCAGGTAAACTGTAAGAGGTGGATAGAAGCTCAGGTTTAAGCCAGGTCTCTGAAATTAATATAGCGTGGATTAATGTGTCTGAGAACATGTCCAACAACTCCGAGTGATGTTGAGGGACACTTTGGGCATTAACATGGCAAACGTTGAGGCAATTGTGGAAATGCTGACATTCAGTATTCAAAAACCTGTTTATAGTTAGACTATCATTAAAACAAGAAAAGGAACCAAGCGAACTACATGCTGAAACAAATGAGTCATCGTCGGACATATACAATATTAGAACTCTCATTATCATTTTGTTTCAAATTGTTATAAAAATATGAAAAATTATCTTGTGTTTATTATAAGTTTGATTTTCGGTATGAATTAACTAAAAATCGCGAGTTACTCACGTGAATATTAGAGAAAAGCTCTACGATTCCGGGTTCAGCATAAAGTCAGTGTTACGTATAACACTCCAGACTTGAGACGCTGTGGATCGACCGCGACGTAGACTCCAAGCACTCTCCAAGGACTTGGCTTCCACACGGGTGGTAGTGCCCAGCCACCATCCCTGTTGAAACTAGTAGAGGTTTTTTCAGTATATATTCACGTGAGTAACCCGCGATTTTTAATTAATTTAGTATGTCTTCCGGTATGGATGTTTCAACTAAATGTAAAATCTTCCAACCGCTTAGACTTAAGACAATAGTTAAGATTTAAAAACTATGGCTGTATTTTTATATTATAACTTTAGTCAGACATCTAAGTTGATTATTATGTTTTCGGCTTACTCACGTAACTGTTTTGCTATCTTGTTTTTAATTTGAAATAACCGTGCCCTTTGTATGTATTTTCTTTCCGTTACACATGTATAATCACTAGCACATCAAGATTCTTTCATCGCCATCATCATCAGGCCGTTCCGTACTGGATATAGGCCATTCCAAAGCACTCCACTGAGCTATCCCCTAGCGAAGCCAGTCGGCAGTAGATTTGGTGCACATAGGTACTTTAGCTAGATGGACTGCTGTCATCCACAAAAAAGTTGCTTTGGGGTTGTCATCAGTCCACCTAGCTGGAAGGCGCCCTAAACTACATACCCTAGACTTATTCTTCAAACCAGATGTCCACGTTCATCGGCTCCGTCGGCAAGTCTTCAAGGTTCTTTGATAGATTTTCAACTTTATTGTCCCGTTATAAAGTTCAAAATCTAATGATGAAACTTGATATTTCACTTCATTCGGTTGAACGTGGTGGTGTTAGTATGGTATTGTTAATTTTGTACCCTGTTCAAATATTCTTTTTGTGATATAATGGTCGTGTGTCCTTTGGAATGTTCGTATTTTGGGAAACCTAATAAAGACTATCGACTAGTTTCTACAACTATTACAATTGTATCTCTCCCTCAATAGTTTGTTACACCTTAGTTTGTCAACGTGATGTTCATTTAAACTTCTTGCTTGCTTAATCACATTAAAAAGAAAAAAAAAGCCTAGTTTACGCTTAGACGTGTTGAAGTAATATTATATTACAATTCTGCTTCAACTTTGTCGACACAAGACACAACGTAATGAGATATGTAGAGAGATAGAGATAGAGTACTCTCTTCTTAAACAGAGAAGAAAGAAGACCCCCGGTAGTCTCTGTCCTATGTTATCAGTATTCAAACCGGTGACTATGTCACTACGCTGACTAATGATAACGTAGGATAGCGGTTAACCACTCGCATCATACAGGGAGAAGACGGGCTCAATGTAAAACGGGGTGAGATATTTTTGAAAGTGTTCTATATTTGTGTGTGTTTCGTACTTGGAATGTTTTTTTGCTACCTTGTTATGTGCATATTAATCTTCTTTATACAGCTGTAAAATTGAAATCGTCGCATCCCGTTGCATTTTTTTTCATTCAAACCTTCTCCTGACAATAACGAACACATAAAGAATTAACCAATTAGGTGTTTAAGTGTGGGAGAGCCATGCTTCGGCACGAATGGGCTGGTTTGACCGGAGACAAAACCGACCTGAAACAACGCTTGCGTTGTTTCGTCGTGTGAGTGAGGTTACCGGAGGCCCGATTATCCCTAGACTCCCTAGTCTCCCGAATCCTCCACAATCCTCAAATTCCCAATTTCCAAAAGGCCGGTAACGCACTTAACGCCTTGGTGTTTCGGGTGTCCATGGGCGGCGCCAATCGCTTTCCATCAGGTGATCAGTCTGCTCCTTTACCGGTATAAAAAAAAGTTGCTATGAAGTTATGCGCGGACATAGATTCCAGGGAATTCATGTTTATAAACAAAGATTTTGTATTATAACTTTCGTGAGACATTCAATTATGTTTAGCAATTATCGTTCTATAGTCTCTGCTTACCTCCACTGGAGACAGGCGTGAGGTTATGTATGTATAATACATTCAATTATTTATGTTTTAGGTCTTACTCAACTAGTTTCCACCCAGGCTAAGAGTTCATACTTATGAGCAGCATTGTGCAACGCTCGTCCCTATGAGCGTCTAGCGTGGGTTGATACTAGTTGAGTCACGTCGTCCAATATAAAGTAAGCCGTGAAGCAAATAAATGAAAATACTTCATATTTTTCTGTTTAACATTTCGAGTACGAAACAAAATTGCTGTGCGTGTTTATTTAGCTCTTTATAAATACATTTACAGCCAAAATTGGTAACCGATTTTACTCCAGAATTTTTAGTTATTGGCCGAAACTCCAAGTACCAACAAGTCATGTGTTGTTTTCCAAAGATAGGAGTTAAAAATGATTAAAAAAGATTGAGATCCGTTATCAATTTTGACCGTTATGTTCAAATAGTCAAATGTCACTTAATTTCGAGATGCTGTCCAAATTACTTCTGGAAATACTTGAACAATGCAGCGCCATATGTGTAACTTAAAATTAAGCAACATTACAGAGGGCTTTGTCCGAGTTTGTTTTCGTTTAAAGTAATCGAAACGAGACCGCGTTCGGCGCTCTGATTGGCCGACTCCAATGAACCAAGTGGAGTGGAAGGAGTGACACCATCTGTTTTGTCGTGTGAGTGAGGTTACCGGAGGCCCATTTACCAGCCCCCGACCCTTTCCCCAATGTGTCCAATTTCTTAATCCCCACAACCTTCTAATTCCTAATCACTAAAAGGCCTGTAGATAACGCCTCTGGTGTTCCAGGTGATCCGTCTGGTCGTTTACTGGCTTATCCCATAAAAAAAATATATAAAACAAACTCGGACTGTGCCTTCAGTATTCAGATGTTACTCAAATAAACTACATGCTTCAATATTCTCCAGTTACTCCTATACTGCCTGGAGACGCAGTTCGACCTGGTGATAGTGGATCGTCCAATGATCCTCCAGTCTATCTACCAGCTCCACAACACGCTCAGTGACCGCAAGATCCTCACTTGGGAGTTCTTCCTGAACAGATTTGAAGCCCTCTTCCTGGAAGCACAGATCAATTCTAACAAGACTATTGACTTCTCTAATTTGAGAGGTAGGTGTTAATGGAGGGTGGTGTGAGGTCTTTGTAATGTTTTTTTTTATCGGAGCTCTGAGAATTTTGTCTTTGACTAAACCGTTTAATTTAAATCTTAGATCTATTTCGGGTTAGAGGGTACCTTCGGAAGGAACCTTTTGGAAATAAGTCTTATAATTAAGTACAGTATTCATTTGACTTAGTATTACAATAATACAGTTGAAAATGTAATAAAATTGTGAGAACTACTAATATTACAATTGATTTAAGTACATCAAAATATCATAAATAAATGGGTTATAAATAATGTAATTTAATTTTTTATTCAATTTTTTTCAACATTATAAAGACCTTACAGTTTCCTCCTTTAGTCGTATTGGTACATAGTTTTAAAATAATCAAGCCTCAATGAATAAATCTCTTTATTTCGAATGCAGTAAGGCCGATTTTCGCTTACCACAGTTGATTATTCGTATATGTACCAGTACTTGAATGTTTAATGTTATTTTGGTAGCCATGTTTGGTGTTATTTATTTTGTTTGTGTTTTCCTTTCCAGTTAAACCTGTATTTCTGTTATTTGGCTCTTTGGTACGTAGTGTGATATTTTGTGAAACGCTTATTTTTTTAGAACCTAACAAAGAAAATGTGTTTTTACCATGAATTATAAAAATACCTTTACTGAAGGCGGACTAAAAAAACATGAGTATATATTTATTGTATTCTTTTACTTTTAAAATTAATTACTTTTATCTTTGGTCTAAAACTGTCCCACTGTTGGGCAAACGCCCCTTCTGGTTTGAAGGGGCTTAGTTGGTCTAACGGTAATAACCTCTATTTTGTAACATTAAAAGTGAATTCCATAAAACATTTCCAATTCAATGGTAAAAAACACCCTCTAGTAATTCACCATTTGCTTTCACTGTACCAATACCTCACCTATACCTACCATTTAACCCCACCATTTCCCCCAATAGAACTAGTAAGCAGCGAGACCAGTTCAGAATGGTTCCTGTACAAAGTGCGGCGTGCCCACGAAGCGCTCAGCGTGTCGGCGCGGGACACCAACGTCAACACGCTCAGCGCCTCCTTCGGGACCAAGTGGCCTTATAAACGGACCATATCCGCACCGGCCACTATGCCGCCGCATCCCGATACTAGACACGGTAAGTGTAAAGTGTACTATGTTATTTTAAGGCTGAAATGACTCTGTATCGATTCAAACTAACAGAAACTCCATTTATCTTCGAAATTGATTATATTATTCACTTTGGTTTTGTATATAGTCTGTTAAAGTTATCTGTTATTGTCATTTCATTACTTTGTTAGAAAAATAATTCAAAAATATGTCTTTTTTCGGCTCGCAAGACAAAAAGAAGTATACCTATGTAAATCTAAAATGATAGTAATGCCATCTACGTTTATCTCGTTTAAGATTATTAGAATATTATAACAGTAGGCTATGCAACGTTTTTTAATAAAATACACATACAATATTCATATTGGCGGCAATAAAGAACGAAAAACATACAGATTCGCTCTTATTGCTGGGGTACTATGTACTTGTATTGATTTGTGGCTAACTTTATGTATTTAGAACGCGAGAAGGTATACTCGCGCCAGTATTCTGCGCCCCTGCTGAAGCGGAAGACGTCCCGCTTCGGTCTGGGGCAACTACTGGCCGCGCCGCAACCACTCGGCACTGCGCAGCGGTCCAATAATACACATGGCAAGTATCTCCATCAATTCCATTCAAGGTCACCATTTTACTCTTGATTTTTTAACTCGTCGAGTACCGGTTTTGTAGACACAATTATAGAACAATAGGTTGCGGTCACCGGTGACCGCTTGGTGTTTGACAGTTTCAGGGGCGTAGCTAGCGCCGTATCTGCCGTATCAATTATACGGGGGCCCCGCACTACAGGGGCCCCCAACGTGCAAAAATTAATAAAAACTTCCCAATTTTTATTATATTTCAGTCATCATAAAAGTCAAAATAAACGATTTTTTTCACGTAAAACATGCGTTCAATGGTTGGCAGAAACTTAAGAAAAATAATGTTAATTAGGGCGGAGTTGCCTGAAAAGATTTTTGGTTTTCACACAAATTATAAGTATTTTATGAAAAAAATCTCTTGTTAGTAATGTTTACCCTTCAAGGGTCCTAAACAATATTTTATACGGGGCCCCCCCAAGGCACGCTACGCCACTGGACAGTTTAAACTTTATCATTAATCGTGCTGAAGTAAAACTGTGCCCTATGCAGGGCAATACCTTCGTTCCGCAATTACATGTAAGTTGTGACATAACCAGTAAAAACAAACACTTTTCTGAAAACCGCATCGAAATCGGTTCAGTTATTCGCGACATAATTGTTAACATACATACAGGTCAAACAAAGAACCTTATTTGAAGTCGGTTAGAAAGAATGTATCATTTTTTAATTTCCATTCATTCCTCCTCCGCAGGATAAAACTCGTGTTTTTCTGATGTCACTCCTACAATCATTTGTTTATTATACTTTCATAAGACATACTAAATTAATTATTATGTACAGTCGCGCTGTTACTGGACAGCCGCCGCGTCGTGGGAATGCTGCTCATGAATATAAGCCTCTAGCATGACTTGAAACTAATCGAGAGTTCCTCGTCAATACAATAATTTGTTTTAAAACAGTATTTGTTGTCTCCAGATGGGTTCCACTCAATGTCGGGTCGGTCAGAGGACACACTGACCACTATCCTACCGAAAGCTGTGGATCTCGAGGAGGCTGACCGAGAGACCACTAACTTGTTGGTGTTCCTACTCATGCAGTTCTTGTCCAGGTAACTATTATGTTGTATGCCTATCATTCTGAAGTAGCTGCCGGTTTATCTTCATTAGAAATTCGCCTTTATTGTAAAGGAGTAAAGTTTAAAATCTAAAATTTTACAAAGGAAATCTTAGTGTTTCTAAAAGTTACTATAAAAACAATAGATTCTATATTTTTTTATCATGCACTCGTCCATTTTTTCTAGTAAGATAAGTTCTTTTACTGGTGAAATGTTGATTATACATCTAGTCATAGGCGGGAAAAGGCACTGGAAGATTTTTCCCTGTCAAAAAAAAAACACGTATCGATCGATCTATTAGGTACTTTGATAAACATTATAAAATATTCTCTTTGTTTCAGGTCCGACCAAGCCCATCCCATGGAAGACAAGCAGTCCTCCAAGACCCAGGAGTTGGTACTGAAGCACTTGTTCCTGTTGCTCGGCTACAACTGCGTCGAGAAATACTTTCATATCTCACCGTTTACATTGCGGTAAGCTAATTACTAGGTCTTCTAGTTCAATACTCCTTAGTAGTCTACTGCTCGACTATAAATATTTTTTACATAAGACAAGTATACTGTAATATTCACATTTTGCAACTCGATGGTTCTAAAACCTATGGAGGAAAGCGAGGTTAAACAATTGATAATGTCGTTAGCTAATTCCCATTCTGTGGGATATGATGACATTAATACCAAAATTATTAAAGAGTGTGCAATCCAATTAACTCCTATTTTGACACATTTAGTTAATATGTCTTTTGCATTGGGATCTTTTCCTGATGCCCTGAAATACTCAATAGTCAAACCTTTATATAAAAAGGGCGAAAAATCTGACATCAATAACTACCGTCCAATAACGTTAATTCCCATATTGTCCAAAGTATATGAAAAGTGTATGTATAAAAGACTAATAGACTATTGCGACAAATTTCATATAATTAGCAAAGAGCAGTATGGCTTTCAGGAAAATAAGTCTACTACATTGGCAATATTTTCTCTTGTAAAGGCTATAGTTACCAACATCAATAAAAATAATCTGACCACTGGACTATTTTTTGACATTTCAAAAGCCTTTGACTTAGTTTCCCATAATTTGTTACTCGAAAAACTTGAATTAGTTGGCATTAGGGGTCCTACACTTCAGTGGATAGCCTCATATCTTAGTAACAGACTACAACGTGTCATCATTGATAGAATAGACGACAGTCAGAATAAGGTGCCTTTTTCTTCAGAATACAAGCACAATAAATATGGTGTACCACAGGGAAGTGTACTGGGCCCTATCCTGTTCTTACTGTATATAAATGACATTATTAATATAACCAATCACCATTGTATATTGTTCGCTGATGACATTAGTATTATTATAACAACAGAAAAATGTAATAATGGTATAAATAATCACGAGAATGAAATTAATAACACTATAGGAAAATTAATACAATGGCTCGACACTAATAATCTTAAAATAAATCTTAATAAATCCGTATATATCAACTTTAATAAATGTAATAATTCAAAATACAATATTAAACTTAACATATCCAAAATTAAAGAAGTGGCACAGACAAAGTTTTTAGGCGTAATAATAGATGAGAATATAAACTGGAAAGAGCATGTAGATAATGTTTCAAAGAGAATAAATAAATTTGTATATGCTCTCAAACAAGTAAAAAATGTAACCAACTTAAAAACAGCCATTATGACCTATCGTGCATACGTGGAATCGCTACTGCGCTATGGGCTTATAATATGGGGAAATAGCACAGATATGCACCGAGCTTTTGTTGCTCAAAAAAAGTGCATTAGAGCAATGTTCGGGATGCAACCGGAGGACTCGTGTCAACCCATATTTAAAAAACTAAATTTGTTACCATTGCCATCCCTCTATATTTATGAAATATGCATGTTCGTTAATAAACATAAAACTTTGTTTAAATCAGTCAATGATGTTAATCCTAGGAACCGGCGTGACCCACATAGACTAGTTCTAGATGATACTGCCAGGCTTAATAAGTATAGTAAAAGCTGCTTATGTAATTGTGTTCGTATATATAATAAGATACCGAGTGATTTAAAAAAATTAAATTTTAGATTATTTAAGAATAAACTGTTTGCTTGGTTGAATACGAATAATTTCTATTGTCTTAAAGAATTTATGGACAGAAAATTTTAAATATAAAATATTTTATAAGTGAAAGATTTGCATGCTAAGTACAATTTTGGCAAAACATGTAAGCTCTTTATAATAATTATTGTAACACCATTTATACCATGTTTTATGCAAATAAAGAATTATTATTATTATTATTATTA